GGAATTGTTCCTGTGTGATGACAAACTATCTGGGACGTAGTTGATACCAGCTTGTATGAACATCGCGATTCCTCCACCCCTACGTCCGTTTCTGTCCATGCGGATAAGCTAAAATCCTTCCAGCCCAACTTCTGCATCTGCTATCTGCTCAGTTAACCATGTTTCATTAAGCGCTATCAGGTCAGGTTGCAAATGGTCCACGACGAGTTTGAGTTCATCCAATTTGTTAAATAGACTCAGTTCATTTGTGTACATCATCGTCATGTTCTTGACTTCACTCAATCTCGCCTCGGTCACCTTTATTGCTGGTCGTGTTGGCGAGATCCAGCCTTCATTGTGGCGGGTGTTCCCCACCAAAATGTCTTCTTCATCTGAATTATAATCCCATCCTTGATTCTCAGTCCAGTCTCCCCTCTGTTCATCCTCTCCTTCATGCCCCTTCTCAGTTCCCGCATTTTCATTCTTTCTCTGGGGTCGTAGTCCGGCTGAAAAAATATTATTTTGTGCGAGTTCTTTAGGGCCATTCTTCGTTCTACTAGGAGGGCTGCCTGGGCGTCGTTCTTCAAGAAAACTTTAAGGAGTCTTGGGGATAAGCTTAAATCACGACTTGGCTCTGCTTTGCCAAGGCGGAATGTTTCCTCTACTGTAATGGTCTCCCCATCCGACAGGAAGTTGTCGACGTAATCATTAATACGATTCATATCATAATAATAAATTGTATATTTAAGGCCCAAGGGGCCCTTTCATTACAAAATTAGTGCCATCGTAAAAATAAAAATTGGTAATCACAGCTGGTAATCATGTGTTCACCTTCCTTTGGAGTGTTTGCTGTGGACTGGGGAACACCCTTTATCAAAATATTGCGTTTCTGGTTTATGGGCGAATATTTTAGTTTCCCATCTGTGCCTTGTTGTGTTGCCTTATCCTGACAGATTGTTACACTCTCCTTCTGGCTGTCGTCCTCTTCTGCTTCACTAAGGTTTGTAAGGACAGATTCACTGCCAGGTTCCGCGCTTACTGAAGCCCTCATGTCCGTTTCAGTCTTCGAAGGTGCTCTTTTTGTTTGGATAGTGCTTAAGCTCGGCCCACTTATACTAGTCATGTGGCTTAATTTGTCTTTTTTGGGTGTACGAGAGCGTTCCTTTGTTCTCTGAGAAGCCTGTGGGTTGACCGTATTCTATGCCCATGACAAACTATCGGTTCCGTCAAGCACCCTGGCTGCCTGATCATTTTTCTGCGTAGGCGCTTCGGTGAGGGATGCTACTTCTCCGTACGTCAAGTTACCTCCCTCAAGTTCACGCATCGCCAATTTCTCCTCTTGAGAGAGAAATCGAGGAAGTTTCTTGAACTCCTCTATCTCCACTCTTAGACTATTTACCACCTTCTCGAGGTTCGTAAGTTTGTTAAGAAGGGTAAAATATGATATGCAGGAGGACTCTTGGAAAGACTTCTAAAGCGCTCTTCTGTAGTTGGTAAAGGAATTTGAGAACTTTATCTACGTGCTTCGGTAGCCCAATCGGGTAGGCGCTCGACTTCTATGCGAGGGGTCTGAGGTTCGAATCCGGGTGGTGGGCTGTTTTTTCGTTGTTGTGATGATGTCTGGAGATCGAAAACCGGAACGGGCGAACATTTTTTCCCCTCTTGCAGGGTTGTATCGCAAAGCTTACATATCCCGTGCATTTAGTTACTTTATGTGAAGGCATTTAGATAAAAGTCTGCTCCAGAACCGATAGAAGTGGAATGATACTTGAGAAAATTCCCCAAAACCATAATTTAGACGATAGCTTTGACACGATAGTACAACGAATATCTATGTTATCAAGAACGACTCAGCCTTTGTAGTAGTTCTAGCTGTATTATTCGGCGATGGAATAGGCTTCCTGGGCGTAGAAGCAGTAGAACGGCGAAGGATGAGGTTCGATGAAGCGAACATTTTTGCGGGTTGCGGTTGTAGATTTCTGAAGGGTATGGTATTTGTCGGTCGAGGTTAATTCGTAGTCCTGACAGGCTGTAGAGCTTTCTAATAGCCCTGATCTCGAAGAATTTTTAAATCCCTTGGAGGTCGGAGATGGAGGTCGATTTCGATGCGCGCCTTGACCAAACATTAAAACTGTAACCACCATTTTGGTAAGGAAGGTGGTCGGGGAATCTTTTGCCATTCGAAGGCCTGACCGTTAAATCATTGGTAAGCATGAGCCCTGTGCAAATTGCCGTTGCGGACACAATTTTTATTACGTCTACAGAGGTTTATCAACGAATAAATGTGCATGTGACAGCCAAATGCTGCAAAACACAATAAATCGCGTAGTTCTTCTAATGAAACCATCAAAAATATTTATGGAAGATTCTAATTCGAAAAATCTGCTGAGTAGGGCTGAGGGATTCTCCACAAGTAGGAGAACATATGCTGTCTTACTAGACTAAACAGCCTTTTAACAATCTAGTGACTTTTTTTGTCTGAACTTATTTGCTTTATTGACGCGAACTCACGCCTGATGCGTAATCGCACTGGGCCTGCTGACATTCATTAATATTGTTGCACTTTTTTTTCAATATTGATACTTTGCTACTTTTCTGCGTTGCGTTTTCACTATTTTAGGATAGCATTCTCGAGAAGTATTTAGTTAGTTCGATTGGACGTCATTTACCGTAAGACTTGCGAGTCGATGGAGATTTATTTATTTACTAGCGCGGAAGCCCGGCTTCGCCTTGGGCTTCCTTACATGTTGTTGTCCCTTATGTAGGCAAACCATATATGAGAACCTCTTAAAATGAGTATGTAGTAGAAGGTGAGTTGATCGGACTTTCTGGGGTCGTTTTGACTCGATGGATAGTATGTGTATGCTCAGAAGGAGTAATTGCGCAGAAAGTAGCGACGGAAAATCGTAAAATAATTGAAAATAATCTTTAAATGTCTAAGTCCGACGGCTGCGCAAATATCGTTTGCTCATGATAATTATG